GTACCCGGGCTAGAGGAGAGAGCCTGGGTACGAGGTTGATCTGCAATATGTTTAAATCGCAACAATGTCTCTGAGTTTTTGCTTCAAACATTTTAGTTATGTGCTCACTTTGGTCACAGACACCATCAAAAGTGTACGAAGTTTTAACGTTGACAAGGCAGCATCCAGTGTTCAAACGTCTTGTGTAAGTCATCACAGAAGTTAGGATTTGAATATCACCTCGGTATAGTCACAGTTTAGAGACTTTACCGAAACCCGACTTCTTCGTTTTTCCTATAATTTTGGCGTAACCGTAATTCGTCATCAGAATGCTGATGCCATGGTCCTAGCCAGTGTGCTCATGAGAGACATTCACCTCCTGATAATATTCAAAATGGCGGATGTCCAGGGGGTGAATGCCTTTCATAAGCGCACTGGCTAGGACCATGGCGTCAGCATTTTGATGACGAATCATGGCGTGGCAGTGGTTACGCTTTTTTGGCCGAGTCGATCTTCTGTGTGTCTTTATTCTGTGGTATAGTATATGATGTAGGTTACTAGTAGTACTGCATATGTCTATCACCTACAGGACTTTCAGAATTTTAGTTTAGCTATTCACAAAACCTGCTTTACTATAGATATGTTTTTGTGAGGATGGTTATCTGTTTCTTGGCTCACGTTTGGGTAATTCTTTGTTGCTCAAGTATACACAAAAAGTTCAAGAACGTTTTCCAAACGGTAAGTTGTATGGCGTTTACTCAGTTCATGCTTGTCTTGTCGTGAAGTTAATGATTCTTGTTACGTGAGTTCACTTTTTCTTTTTAGGTGTTAACCCTACAATACCGAAAGAGGTACAGCTTTGGTCCGTTTGTGATTTTATTGAGAACAACTGCAAAACAGTAGTTATAGTTGGGCAGATAGAGGACCAAAATTATGGAAAACTTACCATATCGTGGGACAATTCCATTTTGCCTTCATATTGTGCCCTGAAGGCTAATAAGTACGTTTCTGTATGTTTGCCGCATTAACATTTCTTGTGGACTCCTGCCGACACGTTTTTCTTCGAATTTTGTATTAAACTCCATTACAGTTAAAAAATGTGAAATTTCAAATACATTTCTAATACAAATGACTTGCATCAAAGAAAGCTCACAAAAAACTACATATAAGACATTTAAACGGTTAGTTGGAATTTTCAAGCGGTTTTCGAGTTATTGCCGTTTCAAATGTGAAAAATAAGCCAAAATCTCGCAAAATTCCTGGGTACTAGTCTGAAAACACGCATTCAACAGCTCATAACTCAAGAAGAACTTGAAAACCCGGATAACCGTTTAAATGTCTTATATGTAGTTTTTTACAAGCTTTCAAATGATGTAATTTCAAATGATTCATTTGTGTTAGAAATGTATTTGAACATACAGAAACGTACTAACTAGCCTTCAGGACCTTCAGGCAAAATGGAATTGTCCCACGATATCGTCCCACAATATACTGCCTGACTATCAATGTAGAATTTTCATACAAGTTTGCCACCACAGCCTGTTTCAACAATGAAGGAATCTTCAGACGGCATCCCTCAATAAGTCACAGGGAGATTGGAGATTCTCCATATGACTCGTTGAATATGATCCTACAGTACATATATTTGATTGAAGATTCCTTTATTGAAGAAAACAGGCTGTAGTGGCAAATCTAAAACTATTCTATATTATTTGCTCCATATGCTATTGAGCACTTTTTGCATTTCGTGAACAAAAACACTCGAAATTGGGAAATTCATTCACATTCTTCATTTCGAAATAGGGTTTACCTCCTCATGTGAAACGCAGGAAGCTTGATTCTGAGTATTTTCGTGGACTAGGTAGGTGGGCGTTCGACTTCCGTTAAGCCAGCAGTTAAATTCACGAAAATTCAAGATACAGCCAATGGACTTATTCCCTAATGAACAAAATTTTGATCTAGACAAGTCTAGACAAAAATTTCATCACAGCTTGAAAGAGCACCACAAAATTAGTGATATTCCGAAGTTTCGGTGCGAAATGTTGTAAAATGCGGATCATATAGCCCTGCGAAGTTTGCCGTTTTTCAGTCATTTTGCATAACGTACGGGAAATTGATACCTTTCTTCAGAAAGCGGTACCAATTTCCCGTGCGCAATACAAAATGACTGAAAAACGACAAACTTCGCAGGGCTATATTATCCGCATTTTACAACATTTCGCAACGAAACTTTGGAATGCTACTAAATTTGTGATGCTCTTTCAAGCTGTGATGAAATTTTTGTCCAGACTTGTCTAGATCCAAATTTTGTTTGTTAGGGAATAGGTCCATTCAAAAAGGTTGTCCTTTGCAATCCTTAAACTCTAAACCTTAAACCTTAAACTCTAAGCACGCAAAGCTTAATGGTAGCACAAGTTTCAAGCTTAGTAGTTGAATATTGCAGCTATTTGTGAATGAATTGTTCTCGTAAGGAGATATTTACCATGTTTCTAAGAAATGGCCCCCATATATAATTTCTAAACTGATTAGATGCCCACTATGCTTTGCACGCTTAGAGTTTAAGATTTAGAGTGTAATGTTTGAATTAGCTGTATATTCAAGCAAATAGCTAAATAACTGTTTTCGTTCAGATGATTTGGACGAGTTAGAGGTGTACGGTGCTGACAGCAAGGGTATTGAATTAGCTTCATATTCTTTCGAGGTATTGTATGCGCTTAGCTGAAAATTTTAAAATATCTATAGCTATAGTACGTAATTAGTTACACTGGTGACGTTTGTTTCATAGGTGTGCGATAGTTTACTAAATATTGGTCCATGTTCCTGCGTTGATATGGGAGAACCAGCCTTTCTTTCGGTAAGTTTATCTCCGTTTTTAAAGAATCTCAGTTATGTAAATGTACAGTACCCCGTTTTATCCCGAAATGATCGTTTGATACTTGGTAACGTTTGTCTTGTTTGTCTTCTCTTTTATGTCCTTTCTGGTGGAAATGCAATAATTAGGAAGAGGTATGTTATGCAGTTAGTGTTACTTTTAGCCTTTTTTGCCTCAATACCGTATGATTTACGCTTGCGTATTTCTTTTTTTTATTAAGTTTGCGGAGGCACCGTTTCTTGATATGGAGATAGTAGCTTGTTCTGGTTATGGCAAAAACGGAGCTATATCTGTTCTCCAGGTTAGTTTGTGAATGTTAACCCTCCTTGATACCTTGACATCTAGTGTCACCAGCAACTATCCCAAGTTACAACCAGAACCAACATCAACCAGAGCTATAATAATGATATCATCATCATCATCACCGATTCACCATCAACCACTATCATCTTCATCATCACCATCATCATTTAAATCACTACCATAATTAGCCACCTCCATCATCACAAAAAATTTCATAACATATTGCGATTACCATATGCGATTACCAGTTACAACCAGAATTATAACATCCATGTAGTTTCAATCACCAACATTACTGCAGGAGTTAAAGTCTTTTCTAAATATAAATCGAGTAGAGATCTAGAGATTGTAGTTCACCATCCAATCTTGCAAGTATTTTACTGTCTGGGATTTCGTTTTCTTAGAAAAGTGTTCGACCTCAAGTCGTCACCACTTTTGAACTTCCCGGATGTGTGGACATGTGGACTGTGACGTCACGAGAACCTAAGGTTTGTTTCCAGATACTTTATGTAAGACAATACATATAGGGGCCTGGGGAAGATATGTCTTTTGACCTACAGTACCAGGTATATTGGCTGTACAATATTTGAAACCCTCTTCTAATAACGATTATTGTATTTATTGTATTAATAGCACTGAGAAAATCCGAACAAAGCTTTTGCAATAAAAATAAATTATACATGATCCTATGCAATTGCTTGTGTTTTTTAGGAGAAAGACAGTGACATGGAGACGGATAGCAATCAGTCCAGTGAAGATGACTCGGTCAATCATTCGTTTCTCATTCTGAGTCGAAAAGACTCTAGCATGGTAAGATTAAATTCCCGTGCAAATTAAATTCCCAATTTTGTATTGACGTGGCACTTCAAGCGATGTAATTTTTGGCATTTGAAAACAACCCGTAGTGTTCACATAAAAACGCACAATTTATAACAAACGTGCAACAAACTTGTACCAATGCTTTTTCAACAATTTGTTATCATCACAATTTGTTATCGGGACGTATTCACACTGCTTGTCCCCAGCTTGTTGACAAGTTATCAACTGCTTGTTGATAACTTGTTACAAGGCTGCTGAGCTCAACAGACTTGTTATACAAGTTGTTCCAACAACTTATTATCGTCCTGTAATTCAACAACTTGTCAACAAGTTGTGAGTGACAATCTTGTAGCAACTTGATAAAATGACAACATTGTTACGATTTGTTGACAAGCTTGCTACAAGCCTGTGACGAACACATCTTCTTGACACTTTGTGGGATTTTTACATGTGTAGTCATTTTGTTGATCTTCTGACTGAAGGTGCTTCGTACAGAACAAGAAATAATGGAATTAGACCATTCAGGATTCTCAACTCAGTATCCGACAGTCTGCGCTGCAAATCTTGGTGATGGTAGATATATCTTACAGGTATTGATGAGTTTAACTGAAGGTAACAGCAGATAGTGCTCAGTGCTAAAAAGAAAGACAAGATCTGGCAATTTCGCTATAAAAATCCAAGGTTCTTCATGGGCAACAACCTGAATATCTTTAGCAGTTGTTGTATATTTTTTGCTTTGTTTTCACAGGTTACTCCGATGGGTGTACGGCTCCTGGATGGCAGTAAGTAAAACTATCAGTTCAAAAACTGTTCTACCTTGATGTCTATGTCTTTGGCCTAGTGTACTACACAGAAGAAATCCTAAACCAAAGAAACTTTATTAGTACTGATAGTTCTTCTTAGCTGTTTTATTTCCAGAAGGGGCTACTACTGGAGAAATCTTCGGATTGATAGAGATGGAACTACTTGAAAAATACTTGTTTTATCCTTTTTTGTGTGTGTTGGTGTTATTTGACTTGGCCGACTTGACCTCGTAGCTCAGTTGGTAGAGTATTGGACTAGTATCCCAAAGGCCGCGGGTTCGATTCCCACCGTGGTCAGGCAAACTTTTCAGCTTGCCTGGTGTGGATGCACACTCAGAGTAACTTCACAAACATCACTTGTATTATTGTTCAGATAGTTGCATTCCTATCAATCCCAAACTTTCTTGTTACTGGCATTACCTACATAAACTGACCGTTCAAGTTACTATCGGAGAAAACTAGAGTACCCAGAAGCTGCTATAAATTGGCGGACTCAAACACTCTTCTCACATTTGATTGAGATGAAATTAAAATCAGACAAGTACATATTGCAGGAACGAACCCCAGAGGTGAAATCGTGTTGCGTAAAATGCATATAGTATACATAGTTCAGGAGTCATTTATATTTTAGATACCCATTGTTGAATTATTTTTTCAACAATACAAATCAACTATTCTTACAATTTTAGTAAATCAAATCCAACATATTCCAATGGATGCTGGATTCCCGTCAATAGTCTGGTGTTCAGTTGCTGATCCCTATGCTGTTATGATGACTGCCGATGGGACTTTAATGCTTCTTACCTTCACATGTGAGAATTCAACCCCTAACCTGACTGTAGCTAGGGTACATATTGATCAGGTCAGTAGTACATCTGTCAGCCTCTCTCGCACTAATTTCTTCCCTGTAAGAACGTTTCGACTGTGTTAACACGTTCTGTGAAGTAGGGGTACTGTACGAGCAGTAAGCATTTAGCCAGGCAACCGTCCACCGTCATATGGACAGCCACTACTGAATTGTTTTCATGAGAGTGTCGTTATAACTCAGCGATGGCAGTGAACCTGTAGTTATTCGAGAGCGGAAATAATGTTGAGGACAGCAGTTTAGCATTTCCTTGTCAATAAATAAAATTTCTACCAATAGAATACTTTAACTTGCTTGCTTCCTGTATACAGTGACTATCAAAATGTGACAATAATGTGTTGCCCCGAAAGGCTTACTGAAACTACACCAATTATTTCTAGTGGTCGGTAGTTTGTGCGTGCTGTGTTTATAAAGATACAAGTGAAATGTTCACAACAGAGAAATTGGTGGAACAACAACCTCCTGAACAGAAACCAATAATCACTCCGCAAGAACCAAAGAAACCACCGCCCATTATGTGAGTAGACTTTCTTGTATGTAGTAGGTACATATGTACTTTGTATATATAAACTGCCGAAAAAAGGCATATGTGTATAGACGGGGTTTTCATGGGACTTCAGACTGGTCTCTCTGAGTAATCTTTCAACCTGATCTCATGTAAACAGTGACAACGGAGAAATCGTCTCGCCGTAACTCTGATGTGGGATCTAACCGTGTTGTTTTATACAGACTTAGTACTGATGATGAGGACGAGATGTTGTATGGTGACACAGACAGTTCTGATTTGTTTTTCACAAACACTCCTACGGAATTTCAACCTCCACAGAGGTAAGCATAAACTGGACACCATACAAAAGAAATTAACACAATAATCACTTTGCCACCATCATCCAATAAAGTCTTAGCATTTTCTAAACACAAACCAATCTTTCATATTGATTTGGTACCTCTAGGCCCGCACCAGCTGTTAAGAGAGATATAAAGCCTACGTACTGGTGTGTATTATGTCGTGAAAATGGAGCATTGCAAATTTACTCTCTGCCGGACTTCAAGCTTGCATTCTGCGTGAGAAACTTTGCTGTTGCGCCTAAAGTGCTTATGGACAGCGGTACTACTGGGTGAGTTCATCGATACTTCGTGAAAAGAAAATGAATGTAAAACCCAAGGTGTAGGTGCCCAATTCACTTGAGCTAGAGCCTTGTGATGTGCTAGGACCCTAGAGGTGTGCTAATCATCCTTACTTGAAGCTGAGAGTTACTGTACAGTAAACTGAATTCCGAAGGGAACCTCTGGCAGCCACCTTATGCATGACTTATGTCTAATCACGGAGTGCAGCTACGGTAGAAGGGCTGTTAGGGGCTTATCCCAACCCTCCCTGTCAATGTTCCCTGTGGGGGGAAACCGGAGCACCCAGAGAACGTTCCCTCCCTGTCAACATTCCCTGTGGGGGGGAAACCGGAGCACCCAGAGAACGTTCCCTCCCTGTCAACATTAGGGAGCTTAAGCATGTAGGACGGCAACACGACGACGACGGCCAAAACAAATTCCTTCAAATAAATGATAGTAAAGAAAACTTGTCGTATATTATAATTCGTATGAATTTAATACAGTATAAGAAGCTGAAAACATTGGCTTTATGTCTGAGAAGAGTTCCATTGACCGAACTTTAAGTTGCACTTGTTACGGCTTGAAATGCAGGCGTTGTATAAAAGACGTGAAAATATGTGATTTGCCGTTGTAAACAGAGCGACGACCACGTCTGAAACTCCCCTGGGACTTCAATTATTTATTCACTTTTCATTGACTCATTGTATTGATTGCCGTCGTCGTCGCGTTGCCGTCCTACATGCTTAAGCCCCCTATTCTCTGTGGGGGGGAAACCGGAGCACCCAGAGAACGTTGACACTCTTTTCACATGGGTCCACAGCGAGAGTCGAACCCACGATCTCAGAGGTGAAAGGCGCTTGCTTTGACGACTGTGCCACCGAAAACACAAAGGAAACAACCAAACTCTACTTACATGAAGTTTAATTAAAGCACAGGGAAGTCCTCCAAGCTAAGCAAATACTCTCCGTCGACTTTCCGATGCTACAGTATGCCCTCGATCAACAGTGGCAGGTTAAACTCGGCGGTAGCGCGCTTACCAAGTCTGCCACTGTTAAATTCTAACTTTACACTTTGTTGGAATTACTCTAGATCAACCGGCAGTTCGCAAAATCAAGATGAGAACTTGCTAGTCAGGGAAATTCTCCTGACAGGTTTACCTGACAAGAACCCGAAACCATTGCTGGCTGCTTTGGTCGATCAAGATTTACTGCTTTATGAAGCTTTTAGTTACAACGACTCTTCCACTGAGGGGCACCTCAATATTAGATTCAAAAAGGTGAGTTTAACCGTGCTATGTGAGGCCCAAACTATCGTGTTTCTCAAAACTGGATAGCCAGGAAACATGTACAGTAAGGAAACATGTACAGTAAGGAACCATTAATATTTTCAAATGTTTCTGCAACAACGAATGAATCCCATGTTTCGAGGCGACATGAGACCATCAAGATCTTTCATCTGCAAAAATTCTTCAGCGATATGAGACCATGCATTTTTTTCGCTTTTAGCTTCAACACAATGTATTGGTGAGAGAAAAGAAGACCAAAATGAAGCCTAGAACATCGTCTTCTGGACAGGGTGAGAAAATTATTGAATGAAGTAGAAGAACATTTTTTCATGTGCTGTTAAATCCAACCTATAGGAGGCTATTTCAATATGCTTTATCGTTTCTTTTAGGCTTGCTCAACACTGTCATTATACAATATTATAATTCAAGAGCTTGAAATTGTTTTAATGCCAGTGGTAAAATAAATTCCAATAAATTTGTTTTTAGGGCTTGATGATATTTCTGAACCGATCGTTGGTAGACTGAGACCATTTCATGATATTTCTACTTACTCTGGGGTAAGGATAAGTCGACTGTGATTTCAGCTTTTGTGTTGTGTTGTAATCACAATAAGCCGAGTTCTTGCTCAACTATGTTTCATTTCATTAGATCTTTGTCTGTGGTGCAAATCCATTTTGGTTATTTAAGTCTTCCCGAAATGCACTTCGCTCTCACCCAATGAACATCGATGGTCCGGTGTTGTCATTCGCTCCCTTTCGTAACGTCAATTGTCCCAAAGGATTTCTCTATTTTAATAAACAGGTAAATTTTGTAAAAACGGTTTGGTGGGAACAGTTTTGTTTGCTAAATGTCCACACACTAGGGAGCAATTACAGCTACGTCTGTGTCAGGTATTTGTGGCAAGATTCATGTTTCGTTTCATGTGTTAACGTCAGTGTTAGGGTAAGGATTAGGGTCAACAATCATAAACAGCTAGACATGAATCTATAACACGATTCCTGTAATATGCAACTGTCTGGTTGTAATGTCCCCCCAATCGTGTGTAATGTGTGCTCCCAGTTTGACTCCGCTATACAAGTGTACAGAGTTTCCTCCTGTAGTGTACAGAGTTTTCCTCCTGTAGTAACTCTGACCAAAATCTGGAGGCACTGACTAGACCGCTAAGGAGAAACTATTAGTCAGAAGTGAAATCTGGTAAAGTTATCCAGTATAGATTAGGTCAGTTTAACTTAGTAAATAAAGATTTTCAAGTAAGGATATGTGTTTATATTTCCAGGGTGAACTACGGGTATCCGTTCTGCCAACTCATTTAAGTTATGACGCTCCGTGGCCTGTCCGTAAAGTTCCACTGCGATGTACGCCACATTTCATTGCTTACAACAGAGAGAGTAAGGTACGGTATAGAGGAGTAAGGTACAGTATAGAGGAGTAAGGTACGGTATAGAGGAGTAAGGTACAGTATAGAGGAGTAAGGTACGGTATAGAGGAGAAAAGGTACGCGGTATAGAGGAGTAAGGTACGGTATAGAGGAGTAAGGTACAGTATAGAGGAGTAAGGTACGGTATAGAGGAGTAAGGTACGGTATAGAGGAGTAAGGTACTGTATAGAGGAGTAAGGTACGGTATAGAGGAGTAAGGTACTGTATAGAGGAGTAAGGTACGGTATAGAGGAGTAAGGTACGCGGTATAGAGGAGTAAGGTACGGTATAGAGGAGTAAGGGTTTGTTGGTCTGAAGCAGGGATGGATCCAGCTAGATCTGGTAGGGGGAGGTGTGGTCATCAAAGTGAGCCTTGGTCATGGTTTGCCGTACGACTTTTGACCAAGTGTATGATCACTAGATGAAAACGCTATCCTCTCATGAAAACAGATAAATAAGTACAGACATGCTGCAAGTGGAAAAACATACTTGTATAGGTAACATTTCTCATGATTTAAGAAAATGTACAAATCATTTTTATGCAGACTCATGCAGTTGTGTCGAGTCAGATGGATCCAGTCAAAGTTATCACGAGATTGGGAGTCGAAGATCGAGAGTTCGTA